ATACATTTAGTGAACAGGAAAATAACCTTTATAATCCTGAATGACTTGCCATTCCAGTCATAAACACTCTACTCCTTTCTAGCAACTGAAGCTAATTCCTTTTATGACCAAGCTGTGGCATTTTGGGTATTTCCTTAAGCTTGGTACCAGGCACTTACCCTAAATTTTGTTCCTGACCTTTCCTGATTTGGGCGGGTTTGGGTGCCTCTAGAAAGTACTTTACACTGTGATTGCTGTCTTTCATTTGAGTGGTCCTCTCTACTGCGTCTTGCCTGTTCTTTTTTCTATAGGTTTCTTTTTCTTTTGATTTGGTTACCTGCTTCTGGCAATATGGAGCTTTCCCAAAACTGGATCTGCAGCAATGTAATAGCAGTAACCCTTTCATTACCAGAGTAATTTTCTTCACTTGTTTTGAACTTCAGCATTTATTGGCAGCTGCTATAAAATTCAAAGGCGAAAAAAGACATGTGGCTTTTTTCTGCTTTTAGAAGTCCAGAGTAGTTACAGTCAGGGTTATAGGACTTTGAAGCCATTTTTTTTCCTTTTTTTTCAGATTTATTACCATTTTATTTTATTTTATTTTTTTAAAAATATATTTTATTGATTTTTTTACAGAGAGGAAGGGAGAGAGATAGAGAGTTAGAAACATCGATGAGAGAGAACCATCGATCAGCTGCCTCCTGCACATCTCCTACGGGGGATGTGCCCGCAACCCAGGTACATGCCCTTGACCGGAATCGAACCTGGGACCTTTCAGTCCGCAGGCCGATGCTCTATCCACTGAGCCAAACCGGTTTCGGCTTATTTTATTTTAAATGTATCTTTATTGTTAAAAGTATTACATGGGGGAAGGTCAAGGGGGAAAAAAAGGAGACATATGTACTACTCTTTGTAACATTTTAAGCAATAAAACAAAATTAAAAAAAAAAGTATTACAGATGTCCCTCCCTTATTTCCCCCATTGACCCCCTCCACCCTTCTCCTGCCTTCCCCCCAGGCCTTCACTGTAATATTGTCTGTGTCCATGGGTTATGCATACATGCATATACAGTACATTCTTTGGTTAATCTCTTACTCGCGCCCCCCCCCCCCACTTCAACTTACTCTGCCTATAGGAGAAGATCCCAACATCTTATCCAGGCTCGCCGGAGTGAACCTACAGGTCGGTCCTCCGACCTGTTATCCAGCCTACAGGGACCTGGCCAAAACGTAACCTGTGTTCAGTGGACGCCGCCTAGAGGTCACACCACCTAACCATGACTGGGCCTACAGTTTATTTAGCCTACAGGTGTATCCGCCCGTTCTTAACCCAGCCAACGAGTGGTCCATTCTACGTGGGACCCAACCGAGACGTAACCCAGCCTACAGATCACTGAGCATCGTTCTCAAGCAGCCAACATATCATCCTTCCAATAAA